GAGACCAAGGCAGGAGGATCACTTGAGGCCAAAAGTTTGAGGCCAACCTAAGCCACATACTGAGATCCCATCTCTTTAAAAAAAAAAAAAAAAAAGCTTAGTCAGGCATGGTGGCATATACCTATAGTCCCAGTTACTCAAGAGGCTAAGTTGGGAGTATCACTTGAGCCCAGGAGTTCAAGGTTACGTGAGCTATGATTGGGCCATTACATTCTAGCCTGGGTGACAGAGTGAGACCCTATCTCAAAAAAAAAAAAAAAAGGAAAGAAACAGCCAAAATTATACTGCAGGAACTACCTAGGTATACATTTTCAAAAAATCATAACTATAGAATGCTTTTTCACTATTTAAAGATAAACTATTTAATAATTTTTGATTTTTTAGATCAGAACTGGATGATATGCCAGAAAATCGTATCTGTGATGTTATTGGCTTGCTAGTTTTTGTAGGAAGAGTCCAGCGGTCAAAAAAGAAAGGTAAGCTTTTAACGTTGAAAATCACAACTATTTCAGCATATAGTTATATGTTCACATGTATATAATCAGTTACCGTCATTTATTTTAATATTCTATCCATATAGAAAGCCGTGAAGATTATTGGTCTTATCGCTGGATCCACATCATTGACGGGACTTCAGAGCTACCATTTATAGTGGAACTGTTTTCTACATCTCAGCCAGAAATCTTTGAAAATATTTACCCAAGTACTCATTCTTAATATTTTATCTTTTTATTTTTAAAAGTAGGAATATTAACTTAAAAAATAGTAGAAGTGGTATGACATTGAGTTAGCAAATTAAAGCAGTATGACAGCATGTTTAAAACTTTTCTATGTTAATGTATTTCTTATAGCAGATATTAAACAACTGCTGCTAATCTAGTCAGAATTAATTTGGTATTAAACTAATTTAGGAAACAGGTGCTCTTGCCAAGTCTCATTGTTAAAATTTCACACATGAAAAAAATTTAAGATTAGGTAAAACTAAAACATGGGCAATTTCCTTTGTATCCTTTTGGAAATTGACTAGACCCCATTAAAGACATCAAAGATATTACTAATGTTGCATTAATTAGTAGAGGATTGACAAACTAATTAAATAATGAAAATGGTAAGTATGATTCCATTTGGATATTAAATTAATATTAAGTTGGTGTTATACCAGCTGATCAATATTTTACTTTGGTTTACTTTGGCATTCCCTTTTTATCCTCCATTAATTCAGATATAAATATAGATTTTTTTTTCACTAATATTATTTATTTGAAAATATTTTAGGTGTGGCCTATTGTATATTTCATACTGCATATAACATAGGCTATTCTTCAGATCTGTCATGATAAGGAAAAAAGTATGTTTAATACTTTTCAGCAATTTCAGTGACGATTTGCTTATTTGAATCCAGAATATAAAGCTATTAATATTTTAGATATGGTATGCTATTTTACCATTTTCCAAATGATAAAATGAATAAATACTGCTTGTTACCTGTGTTAAATGCTTGCCAAAATTGAGGAAACTTCCAAAACTCACAATTAGCAATAAGATAAAAATTGTGGAACACTAAGAGACCTAGAGACGATATATGTAGCACTGTTCTGCTGCCCCTTTTTTCTCTGTACAAAACAGTACTGTACACTTCTGCTTCATTAGATTCCACCCTGGGCTTGTGAGATTAAAATTTTTAAATATATCTAGATAGAACTGAACCTCACCCCAACTTTGGGGGGGATGGAACAGAGAGTTTGGGCCATAACCAAGACATGAACTTCAAAGGTGAGTGGGATATGACCTCTCATAAAACTTCTTTTAGGGCATTAATGATTGTTATTGATTACTTCTAATGACAATTCCATTGCCTCATTTTAGGTGGGCTTTGTCGCTAGGTCCCTTTCTGTTTGCTTGTAGCCACTTTAAACAACAAACTGACACAATTTTAGCTAAAGATTTCTCACAGAAACTTTGCCAAACATGTTTGTTCTATTTCTTGTGATAATGTGAAATGTATCCTCCTAAAAAAGGTATGTATGAACCTTGGTGGGATTTATTCTAGTATAACAAGTTTACAACAATCACAATTTATTTTTGTCTTTTGACCAAAAAGGAAGGAAAAAATCATGATGAGTGTTAAGGGGGCTTCAGGACTGTGAAAGGTAATGTGACCAAAGGTCTTCTGAAGTAATACCAAAATCTTTTGGTAATACAACAAAAAATTTGTAAGAAAAGTCAAGAACTAAAGAGAAGTAATACTGTGCATTTATTATGTGCCAGATGCTTATAAAAATTATCTCATTTTGTATTTTCAGTTATCTTTTAAAGAATTGATGTTATAAATTTTCAGGTTAAAAGGCAAAGATCAAAAAAAATTTAAAAAAATAAATAAAAAGCAAAGATCTAGTCAAACAGCTAGAAAGTGTTCAATTTGACTCTTAGACTTTAGAAATTACAATTAGAGATCTCTTTAATTTTTTACTTTTTATTTTATTGTGGTAAGAACAGTTAAGATGAGATCTACCCTCTTAATAGATTTTAGAATTTCTTTTAATATTCTTGTATCAACATCTTTACTCATTAATATACACATTTGTATAGTTTTTGAAATAAAGGAAAAGTGATATTAATTAAGATAATTATTACTTGAACAGAGTTTCTTTATTTTCATTGCTACAGAATAAAGAAAGAACTAGTAAATATAAGAAATAGCAAATGAATTTATAGGTATGCTTTGGAGAAATTTTTATTCTCAAATAAGAATTACTTTTATGTGATCACAAGAATTTGTATATTTTTGTTTTTAAGACTGTTTTAGCATATAATGAGTTAATGTTTTAAAAAATTAATGAAACTTTACTAACTAAATAACCTGATAGATAATTAAAAACAACTGATAACTTTTGAAAATAGTTGAAATCTGTGGCCTATAATGGATTATAATTAGATTATAGTATCTCATTTCCAGGGATTCTTTTAAGCCTATCAATTTAGCAAGATGAAAAGACAATATCATTATATAAGCCCCGTTATTGGCCTGTAAACTCGAAGATAAATACCCAAGATATATAAAATCCTTGCATAAACAAAGACAAATTAATACTTGGAGTAATTCAGGGTTCAGTATTAGGTTGGGTTAATCAGTGAAAGTATCATAGAGAAACTAAGCTTTTTTCTCTGCAGGAAGTAACTTTTTTTTTTTTTTGGGCCAGGGCTGGGTTTGAACCCACCACCTCTGGCATATGGGGCCGGCACCCTACTCCTTTCAGCCACAGGTGCCGCCCCTAGGAAGTAACTGTGATGCCCAGTTGGGTGCCCCGTTAGAATAACTCTATAGATTAGTGTGGTCCAAGGACTGGATGGATGCACTAGTATTCAAGTAGGAGCTTATTAGAAATGCAGAATCTGGGGCTCTACTTTAGACTGAATCTGATTCTGTATTTTAACAACAATCTCATGTTCTTTTGTTCATTGAAGTTGTAGAATCATCATGTTACACTTTGATCTTGGTATGTCCTTTATAAAATGCAAAAGTAATTTCACAAGTATATTTATTTTTTGCAGTGTCATATTTTGTGTGTACACAATTGAAAGTTGTCAGAAATGACACTCAGACACCCAAGCTGCTTTACCTCACCACTACAAATGAGAGTCGCGTGTTTATGACTGGTGAGTAATCCCTTTGTGTATTTTTTACTGGAAATGTAATGTGTTTCTCTTCACTAGAATCCTTTAGTACGTATGAACTTATAACACTTGAATACAACATAGCTTTATTTTGACCTCCTTTATCACTATAAGAATGTTTTAACAAAAAATATTTGGCTTGTGGATTATTTTGCTTCTAGATTATTTATGGTAGAAGCAGTGATTTTTTGACTCACTGGAAAATTGTGTTTGTTTCCTTTCATTAACTTTAATTCCTGCTTGTTGTAGAATGTAAATAATCATAAATTGTTTGATAAGTTGAAGATCATTAGTCCTGGTACCATAATACAGATTCAGTTGACAGTATTTGAAAATATTAAGTAAAACAAAAATGAGTGTCAAATTTTGGCCCCAAGATCTCACATCTTATTTATATGGAAAGAAAAGTCTCACCACTCTATACAAGTCTGTTATTTTTCCTGTTCTCTCTAACGACAGGGTCAGAACTATAAAGATTAAAGTATCCAAGTCAGAGAGTGAGGGACTAGTGTAGAATGGGGTATATATCAGAATGCTACCATGCTGGAAGATGTTTGTTAAAAGTAAAGTCATAGGGAAGGTGTAAATGTACATCTTCATCAATAGGTACCTTATTGTTAAAATACTATCAGAAGTAAATATGACATTTTTAAGTATGCTTTCAGAGCATGAATCTAAATGCTGAGCTGTATTCATAAGCAATTTAGTTCATACATAATGCCATACTTTCAGGTTAATACATGGCTTAAAAATCAGTTTTTTCAGAATATGCCAAACATTTGGATAGTTAGAAAAATTTAGATTATTATTTTTTCTTCTTCGTGTGGATTTTAGCATCCTATAGACAGCTACAGTTTAGTCCACTTAAACTGTAATACATTGTATGGCTGATTCCTTCTTAGGATTTGTTTACTGTCTTTGAATAATTACTACATAGTGAATAAGTGAACTTGACTTTTTTACATAGTGATATTAGAGACTGGTTTAATATTAAACTGTTTTTATATGACAAAGTCTATTCAGTTTATTACAGTAATCTTTTTCTCTTTTTTATTTGTGGTTTATCCTTCTTGCAAGGAGGTCATAGAGGCCAACCATATACCTACGAAGCCAAGGTCAAAAACTTTATTCAGTGGATTAAAACAAAGACCGAGTCTGGGGAAGTGAAGAATACCGTAATTGGTGGCTACTATCCCTATCCACCAGTACCAGAGACATTTACCAAGTATAGTAGTTCTGTTAAAGGTACTAACATAATTATTGTCAGTCTTTATGTTCATATGTTATACATGTGGTATATGCTATTTCAGTTAGTTACCTTTATATTTTTCTTCTCTGAGGGTGAGCCAAAGTATGGCAACATTCACAGATAACAATTTTGACTTAAAGCCGACTCAGAAAGACGTGGAATGGTACTGAAAGGTTAATATTTTGATTTTATCAGACTGGAAGAAAAAAGAGAATGTAGAAGATAAGTAACTGGAAATACAAGTCGAGTATCCCTAATCTAAAAATCTGAAATTCAAAATGCTTCAAAATCTGAAACGTTTGAGTGCTGACATGACACTCAAAGGAAATACTTATTGGAGCATTTTAGATTTTGGATTTTTGCATTAGGATCCCATGTATTTCAGACAAGGAATGCACAGCCTGTATTGTCTTTATTTAATATCATTAAGATCAGATCTGATCTTGGTAGATCTCGACTTCTATGACATTACACAGAAAGACTAAAGATAATCTAAAAGAGATGTTGGACAATTTGATATTAAGATACAATGGTTTTATGCTACTTTTGTGAATGATATTATGTATAATATAACTGAGTTCTACCTTTAAATAAAAAATGATGCCAAAACAAATGAGATGCTGAATATGACATTGAAGTACTGATGAGAGACCTAATATTAATTTATTTTTCCTAGAATTAATTGTAATTAGTAGAATTAATATATGATAGTTGAAAAGTTTAACATGAGCATTTTCTTGTTTAAAAGCCATGGCATAATTGCATGGTTTTAGAAAAAAAAAAACTTTGAAATGCTGACCTATTATCATATAAATATATTGACATCCTCTTATATATCATAATGCTAGCAATACATAGCATATTTTTGAAATAATTAAAATGTGTTTTTCTGTGTACTGGCTAGACAACACTTTAAAGTTTGAAATGCATCAATTACATTCAATATGTAAAATTTCTTTTGCAAAAAAAAGACTCCACACTGTAAGCTTGTTTTACGGTTTAGTTGATAAATGTATTTTGCCTATTTCACAAAAATTACATAAGGGACTGCCAAATATAAACACAAAGTCTGACAGATTGAAGTTAATGTCACAAGTCTATAATTTCATGTTGTGAAATTACACTGCAAATCTAATTCTTACTTTTATCATTTCAGTTCTTTAAAACTTAAAGTTTCCTTGAAATTATTCTTTTGCAGTTGAATCGCTCTTGACAGCCATGAATGAAGTGAAGAAGGAGATTGAAGACTTGCAGTATAGGGAACAAAAGCGCATTGCAATTCAGGGGATAATTACTGTTGTAAAGTTTATCCCCCACAGCAGTGCAACTGAAAGTGCCACAGCATCAGAAATACCTTGGGTATGGTGCCAAAGAATAAATAGCATGTCTTTGAAAGCGCTGTAATTGTAATTATAGTTGGTACCTTTTACATTTTGTTTAGAACTCATATGTATTGACTCTTAATGTTGTAAACCTAAGAGGAAAAAAATTTAGCTTTTTGTTTCCATTTTCTGTCATTTATTCTTGTGCAGACTGGGCTAATAGTTACAACCTCTGACATTTTCGAAGGCCCTAAAAAGTTGGCATCTAGTTTTGACTTTCTGTATAATTTGAGCCTATCATGAATGTTTTAAACTTCCTGATGGTATATATGTCCATAGTTGTTTCCTACCTTTTTTACAGGCTAGTACTACAGGAAAGTTTCCATGAAAAGTTTTTTTTGTTTTTTTTTTGAGACGGAGCCTCAAGCTATCCCCCTGGGTAGAGTGCCATGGCATCATGCTCACAGCAACCTCCAACTCCTGGGCTCAAGCGAGTCTCCTGCCTCAGCCTCCCAAGCAGCTGGGACTACAGGCACCCGCCTTAGCCGCTTGAGCCACAGGCACCGAGCCAAAAAAGTTTTTACCACTATCTCTAGCATGGTAGTCTTACTCATGCTCTTATAGTTAATGCTATAAGATAGCATTAACTCTTGTAGGATAAGTAGTAGAAGGGGCCAGTTCTGACATCTAGGGACAATCAAGATAAGTAAATTAATTGTTCCTATGAGTTTGTCTTCTTAAAAACTACCTCTACAATTATTACTATTCATATGGAAATAAGGATTTAATCCATCTTTTCAGTTATACTAGAATAGGAAGGACATTTTTATCTTCCTTTTAAGAAATAATTTAATAGCACATGGATTAGATTTAATCATCTTCATAAAGGTACTGGTTACATTTGCAAAGATTTGTCACAATTCTTAAGATTATGAAAAAATGGGCTCAGCACCTGTGGCTCAAGTGGCTAAGGCGCCAGCCATGTACACCCAAGGTGGTGGGTTCGAATCCAGCCAGGGGCCCACCAAACAACAATGATGGCTGCAACCAAAAAATAGCCGGGCGTTGTGGTGGGCACCTGTGGTCCCAGCTACTTGAGAGGCTGAGGCAAGAGACTCGCTTGAGCCCAGGAGTTGGAGGTTGCTGTGAGCTGTGATGCCATAGCACTCTACCCAGGGGGACAGCTTGAGGCTCTGTCTCAAAAAAAAGATTATGAAAAATGGAGACATTAAAATGGTAGAGTCTTTTAAGAGAGAAATAATTTTTTGTTTATTACTGTATTTTAAAATGTTCTTTCTAAATTTTTGGTTTTAGATTAACCGACCCTCCACATCTCATGATGATGAACCTATGAGTTTTCAGTCTTTTCAAAATGCATCTATAAGTTTGTATACAAGCAACAAAGTAAGAGTTCTTCAAGGCCCAATTGCTAAACCGTAAGTCATTTGTATTAAGTACAATATATACAAAGCACATTATTTTTGGTTTATCTTTAGAGTATAAAATAAGCAATTATGATAGAAGCTGTTTCCTGGGGCTACTGTAGCAAAATACCATGACTGAGTGGCTTAAACACAGATGTTTATCGTCTCACTGGTTCTGGAGTTTAGAGTCCAAAATCAGGGTATTGACAGGGTTGATCCCTCTGAGGGCTGTGAGGGAGAATCTGTTCCATGGCTCTCTTAGCTCCTGCTGGCTTGCTAGAAATCTTTGGCATTCCTTGACTTGTAGAAGCATCACTCCAATCTCTGCCTTTATCTTCACACAGAGTTCTCCCTGTGTGATGTCTGTGTCTAAATCCTTCCCCCCCCCTTTTTTTTGAGACAGAGCCTCAAGCTGTCACCCTGGGGAGAGTGCTGTAGCATCATAGCTCACAGCAACCTTCCCCCCTTTTTATATAAGGATACCAGACATACTGGATTAGGCCAGTATGGCCTCATCATAACCAGTTATATCTGCAAAGACTATTTCCAAATAAGGTCACATTCTGAGTTACTGAGGGGTAGGGCTTCATCATATGAATTTTGTGGGGGCACAGTTAAACCCATAACAGTCTGCCTCTGGCCCTCATCACAATATCCCCAAAAGGCTTAAACCATACCAGTATCAACTCTGGTCCAAAATCTCATCTAAATCTCTTCTACATTGCATAGGGATATGATTCATTCATCCATGATCAGGGTGATTTATTGTGGGGCAAAATTCTTTATCTGAAAACCTGTGTCATCAGGCAAATTATCTGTCTCTATGTACAGTGGTAGGACAGGCATAGGCTACACATTACCATTTTTTTTATTAAAATCTTTATTACATTTACATTTTCTTTCTTTTTTTTTTTTTGCAATTTTTGGCCAGGGCTGGGTTTGAACCACCGCCTCTGACATATGGGCCAGTGCCCTACTCCTTTGAGCCACAGGCACAGCCCCCACATTACCATTTTCAAAGGAAGAAATTGAAGGGAAAAAAGGAGTCTTAGGTTACAAGCAACCCCAAAACCTAGCAAGGCAATTTCCAGTAGAATTTAAGGCTTCATAGTTATCCTTTCTGACATTTAGATGGTGACCTCACACTTTGAAACCAAGGAGATGGTCCTACCCTCTAGAATTGAAAAAGTTACCCTGTCTTCTGGAACCAAGGAGATGGTCCCACCCCTAGAGTCATTCTTTCATTTTCTTGAAGAATAGCCCATATTTGTAGTCAGGTGACCAAATAATGTCACATTCTGGGATATTAGGGGTTAGGACTTAAACATACGAATTTGGAGGACACAAGAATCCCTCTTACCTGCCCTACTCAGCAAGGACTAATCAAAAATGAGTTTAAAATGGGGAATTATTTCTAAAAGCAAACATTTTTATTTCATTTACACATTTTGTTTTCATTTAAAACAGTGGTTCTCAACCTTCCTAATGTGGTGACCCTTTAATACAATTCCTGTGGGTCATGACCCACAGGTTGAGAACCACTGTTTTAAAATACAGCTTTTGTTTGCCTACCAATATTTTAACCCTGGGCCTTTCCTACTGTACATAAACTTCATCCATTATGAATTGTATATGATTAACAGTCTTGGTTTCTTTGAGGTTTTAGGAAAACCCAGACATTGTAGAGTGCAGAACCATTCTGGATTTTAAGATATTTTAATTTTTTTTAGGTAAATTAAAAAAAAGTTTATTGATGCATACTAGATGTACATATTTGGGAGGGTACATGTGATAAGTTAATACATTCATATAATTTGTAAAGATCAATAATTCCAGTATTTTATAGTAGCTGTACAGCAGCTTTTAGGTTACAAATAAGCAATAAGTGAATTTATCAAGTTTTTAGATAACTAGCATCCTTGATCTATTTACTCGTTACTTCTAAAAGTTTGTAGGGTTTTATTTTCTCTCAGCAGATGATGTTATCTGCACATGATGGTAGTTTCTTTCTTTCTGTCCAATTATTTTGCCATTTAATTCTTTTCCTTGTGTTATTGTACTGGTTAGGACCTTTAGTACAATGTTGAATAGAATTTGTGAGAAAGAACATCTATGTCTCATTTTTAATCTCAGAAAGAAATTTCTCAAGATTTCACCACTGAGAAAGTTGGTGAATAATTTTTTATCAGATTAAGTATATTTCCTTCTAATCCTAGTTTGCTAAATTGTTCTCATGAATGTGAGTTGGATTTTGCCAAATGTTTACACTGAGTTTATTACGTTTTTTTTTCTGAGATAGTCTCACTATGTTGCTCTTGGTAAAGTGATAGGCATCACAGCTCACAGCAACCTCCAACTCTTGGGCTTAAGCGGTTCTCTTGCCTCAGCCTCCCAAGTAGCTGGGACTATAGGCACCCACCACAATGCCCAGCTTTTTTTTTTTTTTTTCATTTTTTTTTTTTATTTTTTATTTTTTGGCAGGCCCAGGCTGGGTTCAAACCCTCCAGCCCTGGTGTATGTGGCTAGCACCCTAGCCGCTGAGCTATAGGCACTGAGCCTACACTGAGTTTATTAATCTACTAACTTTTACTTTGTGTTCTTTTCACATAGTTAATTAAGTTGATTAATTTCTTGAATGTTAAATCATCCATACATTCTTAGAAATAATTCTACTTGGTTATGATGTACTACCCTTCTCATATGTCAAATATGGTAATATATGGGATATATTTGATATATGAGAAGGGTAATACATGCAAATTTTATAATATCTGCAATATTTTATTTAGCGTTTTTGTATCAATGTTCGTGTGAGAGATTGATCTATAAATTTTTGTCTCTTATAACATCCTTGTCAGAGATGTGTATCAGGTTTATGCTGGCCTTATTAAAAAAGAATTGGGAAGTGTTTCCTGTTTTATTCTCTGTAAGCGAATGTCCAAGATTGGTATTATCTCTTTCTTAAATGTTTAGATATATTCTCCAGTGAAGCCATCTGAAGCTGAGGTTTTCTTTTGGGGAAAAGTTTTGAATAAGTGATTCAATTTCTCTAATTTTGGAATATCTGCTTTTTCTTCATCTGGCCATTGTGTTTTTCAAAGATTTTTATGTTCACATCTAAACTAATATTTATTTGTGTAAAATTGTCTTTTATACTTCTGCTTAATCTATAATGATGTTACATTTTTATTCCTTATACTCAATAATTTGTGTTTTCTGACTTTTAAAAAAATTATTTATTAAATCATAACTGTACATTAATGCATTTATGGGGCACAATGTGATAATTTGAAATACAATGTGGAAAACTTATATCAAATTTGTTAACATAACCAATACCTCACTTGTTGTGGTAAGACATTTATACTCTACTCTTAATAGTCTATTGTGCATAATGCAATGATACATTTTTAAAATTTTATGACTTTTCTTTCTGAATCAATCTTCCTGTTCTTTTTCTAGCTACTTGAGTTAGATTCTTCATTAATTTTTGGTTCTTTTCTAATATGTGCATATAATGCCATAAATGTTTAAGCACCTCTTTAGCTGCATCCTACTTCCTTCTGTCAGTTAAGAACTTTTTTTTAGTTTTTATTGTGATTTTCCTTTCACAGATTGGTTTATTGTGAAGTATATTAGTTAATTTCTAGACAGTCGAGGATTTTCTAGTTACTTTTTTTTTTTTT